CATCATGGAGTTATAAAGATTCATTGAAAATCAATATACTTGTTCGTCTCAAGACCTTAAACTCTGTGTACCAATCTGAAGTCAATCGGATGATAACTTTAGCCTCTAGAGCGTCACAAGATTTTTCAAAGTGATCAAGGGCCATAACTCTGGCAGTAGTTATCCGAAATCGTTGAAAATCAATATGATTCTTCATCTCATGACCTCAAACACTGTGTATAAATTTAAAGTCAATCGGATAATAATTTTAGCCTCTACAGCGTCCACAAGATTTTTCAAAGTGATCAAGGGTCATAACTCTGGCAGTAATTATCGGAAATCGCTGAAAATAAATAGGCTTCTTTGTCTCATGACCTTAACACTGTGTATAAATTTAAAGTCAATCGGATATTAACTTTAGCCTCTAGAGCGTCCACAAGATTTTTCAAAGTGATCAAGGGCCATAACTCTGGCAGTAATTATCGGAAATCGCTGAAAATCAATAGGCTTCTTCGTCTCATGACCTTAAACATCGTGTATAAATTTAAGGTCAATCGGATATTGACTTTAGCCTCTAGAGCGTCCACAAGATATTTTGAAGTGATCAAGGCCCATAACTCTGGCAGTAATTATCGGAAATCAGTGAAAATCAATAGGGTTCTTTGTCTCATGACCTTAAACACTGTGTATAAATTTGAAGTCAATCGGATATTAACTTTGACCTCTAGAGCATCCACAAGATATTTTGAAGTGATCAAGGCCCATAACTCTGGCAGTAATTATCGGAAATCAGTGAAAATCAATAGGCTTCTTTGTCTCATGACCTTAAACACTGTGTATAAATTTGAAGTCAATCGGATATTAACTTTGACCTCTAGAGCGTCCACAAGATTTTTTGAAGTGATCAAGGGCCAGAACTCTGGCAGTAATTATCGGAAATCAGTGAAAATCAATAGGCTTTTTCGTCTCATGACCTTAAACACTGTGTATAAATTTAAAGTCAATCGGATATTAACTTTAGCCTCTAGAGCGCCCACAAGATTTTTCAAATTGATCAAGGGTCATAACTTTGGCAGTAATTATCGGAAATCGCTGAAAATCAATAGGCTTCTTCGTCTCGTGACTTTAAACACTGTGTATAAATTTAAAGTCAATCGGATATTAACTTTAGCCTCTAGATCGTCCACAAGTAATTGTGGACTTGCCAGACCGACGGACGGACAGACGGGGGCAGACGGGGGCAACGACAATATATGACCACATTTCAATGTGGGCGTATAAAAACGAATTTTTCTCCATGAAATACTTATGAGATATTGTTTTTTTTCACTGGATTTTAAAATGAACAAAAATATCAATAGCAGCCATGAGCAATGCCACCACGAACACGCACATCATGTCTCCCGCTGTCACGTGCGGATTGCAATACCTTGTTTTTATTTTCACTTTCATCCCCAAGTCCCATATCATTATCAATATAGTCAGTCAATAGATCTACACGTTCGGGACTCAGGAATTGCCTACATCTTCTACGATCCAGCAGGCCAGCATTATTATCAACATCAGAATTATTGTCAGAATCTACTGCAGACACTGGGCTATCGTGTTCACATTGGGCTTGTTCATCATGCACAGGAGACATAGCTAGCCATGGGCCGTACGTCGCGCAACAAATCACACACTTCATAATACCAATCACTGTCCTGACTACTATCATTATCAAGTAACTGGAAACGAATTATGTGTATCACCCGCCTCGAAATTGTCCACGTGTTGGTCAGCAAGACGTCATTCACGACCTCGTCGAGAGTGCATAGTCTACCTTGTCACTATGCACTCCTCCATTTTACAGTTTGTCGCTTTGAAACACATGGAAATATGTTCTAGTGTATAGAAAATACAATAGATGGGACTTGCAGTTACGGTACTAATTTTAGCGAGGGCTTTACTGAGTACACGGTAATACCGGGTACGCGTATTTTACTGACATTTTATAATACCCAGGGATACCGGGTAGACGCAATGAAAGGGTTAAGTGTTTAGAAACTTTCAAAACAAACAGGATTTATTTGTATACTTTGTTGCCTGTTTACATGGATACTACTGTATTAGGTGCATGCGTAGGCAAGGCGCAGGGTGAGTTTGGCAGAGGTGTTTCAGGAAAAATTTAAAGTACATGCTTTAGGTGCACCCTTCTCCAGCGCCTTGTGAAACACTGCCATACCATGCATGTCATGTGACTTAAATACACCTGCAATCTCCAGTAACTGGGCCAAACTCTACTGTTTGATTTTGTGCTTGTTGTGTAAATAAAGATCTAATTTATAATTTCTATGACATCTGAAGCCTAAATAAAGACTTGCAATAATCAGATTTAGCTCTTGCATAATGTATGTTTAAATTGGACAATAATTGTGACCTCTAGAGGGACCACAAGCTAAAAACACAATTTTTCGTACAGTCAAGGGCCATAATTCAGGAAGTTACGATCCGATATGAGCAAATATCGAAAGGAACCAAGATCTTTGGGTTATAAACATGTATTTAAAAAAGTTTCATCAAAATCAGATCATAATTGTGAGCTCTAGAGGGTCCACAACCTTGATATACCATATTTTAACACTGTTTGCCTTTGAGGGGCAGCCTTTTTGTCAGGCAGTTTTGGTACGATTTTCACGTAATTCGAAATCAACCGTCATTAAGGTGTAACGGTGATATATTGAAACGTTTTTGTAAATTGGAATAAAATTGTGACCTCCATAGGGTCATACAATCAGGGTCCATAATTCAGGAAGTTACGGTCCGATAGGCGCGAATATCTTTGAACCAAGATCTTTGGGTTATAAACTTACATTTCAAATTTCAACAAAATCAGATAAAAATTGTGACCTAAATACAGGGCTCACACTGGCTTCCGATTTTTTCTGCCAAAATGGATGATAATTTTTATTTAAAAAAATGTCCACATTTTTTTCCGCCAACTGGAATATTATATCTGCCAAAAATGTGTTATAAAAAAGACAACACCTAATAATTTTATGTCTCAGGTAGGCTTATTATAAAACAATTACCGATAGACCTATACAACAACTTTTAAAATCTGTCTTTACATAATAGATTAGCAAAGTTTGGATTTAATAAGATCAGATTTTATTATTGGTGACTTTAGTCTATTTGAACACCGTACTGCACAATATATTTTCAGTATTTACACATCAAATCTCATCCAAGGATTGCCAATTTTCTATAAATTTATGTGTTGCGTGCACAATGGGCCTATTGTTATTTTCAGGTACCGTAACGGTATCGGAATCTGAATCCCTGATAGAAAGGTATAAATTTCAATTATATTTGTTGAGAGATGCTTACAATATACCTGTTGTTAACTTTTAGAGCATTTTGGCGATGGTAATATGATGCAAATGGCGAACCGTTTTCTTGCTCAAGAATCGTCACTATTCCACTCGTTCTTACGTTTTCGACCAGTGGTGATATTATAATTTTAAATAATGATATCCGATAGGCATGCTTGTATTTTTTACATGACGTATATGAAGCCAATGTAAACGAATTCAACTATCAAAACATTTAATTCTCTTCACAAGGAACTGTCGGCCATTTTGATTACATGTATTATCATTTTTTTTTAAAGATGAAACGAAACATCAAATAATCACCGCTTGGATTAATCATTAGGAGTAAATTGTGACTTGACATAGGCTTTGCGACTTTGGCGACCGACAGTGTGAGCCCTGCCTAAATAGAGTTCACAAGCTAAAAACGGGAATTTTCGTACAATCAGGGGCCATAATTCATGAAGTTATGGTCCGATACATGCCAATATCGAAAGGAACCAAGATCCTAGGGAGATAAACCTATATTTCAAGTTTCATTGAAATCAGATAAAAATTGTGACCTGTAGAGGGGCGACGACAATATATGTCCACACATCCCTGAACTAGTTAGTATTTTTACTGACGAAACGTTGGATAAAACGATGGTTTTTTGATATTGTATTCTATTAATTATTTCATATCAACTTATCTGAATATCAAATGCTTCATTTTGACTTAGTTAAAATTGATCCCATCAAACCGTCTGTATTTGGTTTGTGTTTCCTGTTTCTACTGATTGGAAGTTTCACATCAAAATGTGGGCGTATGAAAATGTCAGCTGAATCCATTAAGTCTCAAATCGATATCAAAATATGATATTTCTGCGCATGGCCACTAAACAAGAAATCTGATTTCTGATTTGAGACCAGATTTGGAATCAGCATATGACTTTACATCTACTACCAAATTTCAGCTTGATACGTCAAGTAATTTGGGAATTATTGACATTTTTTCATTTTTATGGGTGCACCGGTTTAAAAACACCCACTTCAGAAAAATGTCTGAAAAATCTTTAATAGTCAGAATTTTGGGAAAATATTTTGGATCAAGAGGTTTCAAAAGGCAACATTTCCATGAAAAAATTATGAGCGAAATTGATGACGGTTGGTTCCCTCGCTGGTCGAATTGACGTAACAATTGTCTCAGAGTATGACCAATAAAATCATAGGTGTACATATATCTATTTCGATTTTTCTGATCTGTATGTTCATATGATTCTCATATCCTGGATTGTGCACCCTATTCCAATGATTGAATTGTCAAACAAGAGAAAGAGAGAGAAATGGGGTTTAACTTCCACTCGACACAAACCTGAACACAGGGTTCAATTTTATTTCAATAATTCACTTGCGCATAGGGATCTTTAGCAGTCGGGGGAAACCGGAGAACCAGGAAAAAACCTATGAGGTTAGACAGGCGACCCTACTCCTTGTCACATACAATCTGAAGAATTGAAACCAAGCCAGTTGACTCAATGACAGACCTTATGATACAACATGCACGCGCTAACCACTTGGCCATCTACCCCTGTGTATATAAATCTGTATATTTGTAATTGAAGCTTAATAATTAGCTTTTTTTTTACTGAATAATGTATTTGTAATCATATTACTCTGTTATACTTACCTTTGATGCATGTTTTGGTCTTTTCTGTTGCGTATCAGTGTCTATTTCTGTTTTGTTTCTTCTGTCATCAGACGGACTGTTGATTGATTCAAATGCCAAATCCATAGTTTTAGGGTCAAATACTTTTTTTCCATGTGCATGGTCATATTCCGACAGTAAATCTGGTTGGCCCTCAGAAGGATACGCTAGATTGTCTAATGTAGGAAACGCTTCTCCAAATGAATAATTGAATGAACTGTCTTTTAATACTGCTGAAATTGATTCCCGTCGTCCACGATTGTACAAAGGATCAAAATAATCCAGAGATAAATATTCATGCTCTACTGCTGGCCCTCCAGACAAATGAATCAAGTCTGTACCTTGCGACGGGAGTGTTAGAGTCATGCCATAATCATCATTTCCATCTAAAGTTTCTTCCGTCCATGTGGAAACCCCATCAGCACTATCTAACGCATCAGCCCAGCTCGCGGGACGGGGAAGACTACTTCGAGACCTAGTTATCAAGTTACTATCATCACTGAACCCACTGACATGTCTGGGGTTTGGATTTGGTAAGTTACCAGGATTAGGATTTGTATTAAAAGGGTTGCCTGGTGCACCTGCGCATGGATATATAAATCCTATAATAGGAGGATTAACCACTGGAACCATTATGGTATTGGGATTTGAAGTCTGTCCAATCATTGGATTTGGCATGTTTGTTGCAACACTATTTGTTCCATGATGAAGACTGTTGATCGTCGATGCAATAAAACCTCTTGAAAAATTATTGTTATCAAAATTAGCTTCAGCACCATTATTATTTGCTGTCAGATCATTTCCAAATAAATTCGGATTCCATCCATACTGAGCTGGAGCACAAGGGAAAGTCTGAGAGTTTCTTTGACCTGCATGAAGATACTGAACTGGTCTAAAACTTAGTCCACATGTTATATCTGGTTCATTTCTAATTTCTCTGAAAACATGGCTGATATCTGGGTAAACAGGTTTAGTGACACTCAGATCTTCTAACGAAGATGAACGTCGCTGTTTTAGTGAATCAGACGGAAAACTGAAGTCTATATCTTTAAAGTCATTGAAATATGAGTGTGGATTGACATCATTTTGAGAATTCTGGCCATTTTGTGGTGAAAGTGACATCAATGTACCCTGATTACTTGTAGGATTTAACAAACCATTACCAGTATCATTATTTCTGACAATGTTTGGTGTTTTAATAGAACTAAGTATATCTGATGATTTATTGTTATGTAAACTGCTGACTCTCATAGGTACTTGAGGTGGAACCACTGTACTGATGGGTTTATTACTTCCCAACCGTCTTCGAGAGGGAATTGGAGGAGGTTGAATTGCTGGGTAAATAGAGCTGTTCCCCTGTTTAGACATTTTTTCTGAAACAGAAACACTTGTTAATTAAAACTCAGTTATTTTAAAATTATGAATATTCTCGTAATGAAATGATCTTTATTAATCATAAACTTTATTACTAGTATCATTACTGCATGATGTTCCATTCAACGGGTAAGCTTACAAACTAAGCTTGTCTTTCTTTCATTATAACCCTAGTTTTCAAACAAGATTAACTTCAGTTCAATTGGTCTTTTACTACATTTTACAAAGATAGCCACACAAAGTCTGGACATATGCCCACACAGCAGCTATGTCTCAGCAGCGTATCTGAAAGGAAAAATTAAAGAAATCTAATGTCTATTGTGTTCACAGGCTTTACAGACCCATAATATAACTCTGAAACACTAAGTCCTAGATTGCTGAAAATCAACAGGGTTCATCCTTTCTGATTCCAATGCTTCACACCAAATTTGAAAATCAATAGGATTAATAGTCTTACAGTCCTGATGCTTCACACCAAATTTGAAATCATTGACAAAATATGACATTTTGGCAAAGGGGGCAATGGAAAGTCACAGAATGCTGAATATTGATAGGGTTTGTCCTCTTAATGGCAACAATGCTTTCAACCAAATTTTTTGTTAATGGGGGGAGGGGGGTATGGAATATCAAAGAATGCTGAATATTGATAGGGTTCGTACCATGGATCTTAATCGGCTGTATTTTGTCCGCTTTAGCCGCATGGTAAAACAATGAACCGGCAACTATGGTATCATAAATCAATTTACTTTCAACTAAATTACAATGGGTTAATTATTACTTGTTAATTAAGACCAATCAACTTGCTTGTCGGCCACAACAAGAGTTATACCTTAGTGAGAATTGGTCATGTGGTTCATAATCTAAGTAGCCTAATTAGCACATTTAACGGTAATTTTGATAATCCGGTCAAGAAATTAAACAAGCTTGCTGATTATTCATAACAGGTTCAGTAAGCTGCTTTAGTAAAAATAACCCACGTGACGAAAGTTGACGATCTCGGCATGGTTTGCCAATCGAGGTGTCTTCCACGTTCCGTATGAATTCCAGGTACCGGTAGATGGGTAGACTAATCACTGGAATTCACTTATAAACACCGGAATTCACTTCCAAGATATCAGAATTTGCCCACAAGATCTTCCTATTTACTTTTATTTTGCATTAATATTAATATTGAATTACTTAAAAACACCAAAAATCCCAACATTCACTTTGAAAACATATAAACACCAGAATTCACTTTCAAAATATTGGAATTCGCACAAAAGACCTCAATAATAATAAAATAATAATCTATTTATAAAGCGCTGAATATCCAACAAACCAGTTGCTTAAGAGCGCTATACTAATTCCTATTCACTAATAATTTGCATTAATAATAAAAACACATAAAATCACCGGAATTCACATCGAAAACATATAAACACTGAAATAAACTTTCAAAATATCGGAATTCGCACTCAAGACCATCCTAATTACTAATATTTTACATTAATAATAAATTAATTAAAACACTGAAAATCCCCAGAATTCACTTTGAAAACATATAAACAGCGGAATTCACTTTCAAACTATCGAAATTCACACTCAAGACTTTCCTATTTACCAATAGTTTGCATTAATAATAAATTACTTTAAAACACCGGAATTCACTTTGAGAGAATTGGAATTGGCCCCCAAGACAATTATACATGTATTTGCTTATATTTTGCATTGATATTATTACTAGAATACTAGAAATTAAAATGTATCTGTTGTAAGAAATTGAAAGAAATAAAAAAAAAAGCCATAAAAACCAGTCAAGAACTTGATCGTTAATAATATGTTTAGTGAGGCGGTTAAGAATGCGTTTGCAAGAAAATCCTTGCAGGGACCAGCACATGGTGGGTGAGCGATTTTCACCATTTCTTTTATTATGTATAATGGGTAACCCCTCCAAACCCCACTGCAACAATTTTAGATCAATCAAACCATTTTTAGAGCGTAGAAAAAAATTTGAAATTTTAAGACCGAAAACACCAAAAAATTATCATTTTCAGGCCACTTTTCAATTATTTCGTACAACTAAACTACGGCGAGTAGATTAATGAAACTTTATAGCGTAGCAGATATGGTTAGTGAGTATACATTCTGAAAGTTTGATGGATTTTCATGGAGCGGTTTTTGGTATAGGGACTTATTGCTGCAAGGTACAAAATAGCTCAATTTAGGTATGTCATTTTATTCTATCTATATCTCACCCACTGCTGGTTAAAGTATTTTTTTGGAATGCTGACTGAAAAGGCAATGATCTATAGTATTAAGATCAAGAAAAACATTGAGTGGAACTCGACCCGTTTAGTAGTAAATAATTTCCATTTTTGTACAAATAGAAATAAACAAATAAATATAAACGCAGATTATATACTTTCATCAAAAAATTCAAGTTTAAAAAATTTTCCATTATCAAAACTTCAAATATACTCAGTGCCATGGAAAACGCATCACTTTTTTTTCCCAAATATCTTATTACTAGGTGGTTTTGTATGTATAATATTATGCAATACTATGAACTATTGTTTCACACAATGCTCCCAAACACAAAAAATATCGACCCGTGTGCACCAAAAAAAATTACACGAGATGCACATGAAAAACCCAATATTCACGTGCAGCATTGTGTGTGAGCCCTTTAAAAGCATGTTTTCAACTTAATGTGCAGTACATGAACAGTGAAATGTCAATCTGTCGTAATTTGTTGTTGGACGTGTGAAGGAATCGAGCTAGAGATGCCGAGACTTACTGAAAATCAACGGAATGAAGCCATGGGAATGTCCCGGGCTGGCATGTCTACACGTGCTATTGCCAGACACTTCAATTGTCATCAGTCCACTATTGTAAGGTTGGTGGAACGTGTTCGAGTTACTGGATCAACACGTGACCGTCAATGTCCTGGTCCACAACGCGTTACAACCCAGGCTCAAGACCGCTACAGTCGTCGGAAGACAAGGACCAGTAAGTGCCAACACCGTAAGACGTTGTCTAAGAGAAGTAGGTCTCTGTGCACGACAACCTTATGTTGGAGCTATCCTCAGGAATCATCACCGTCCACGGCATTTGATATGGGCTCAAGGACACCCGACATGGAGAAGAGTAGACCGGTAAAGTGTGCTCTTCAGTGATGAGAGTCGCTTTCATCTTTATCACGCTGATGGCCGTCAACATGTGTGGAGACGTCTTGGGGAACGTCTTGCAGACTGCTGTGTCTTCGAAACATGGTGTGGGAAGGCTTCACATTTCATCACCAGACCGCCCTACACATTTGCAGGGGTCGCGTTAATGCTGCAGCCTACCGTGATGATGCCTTGCAACCAATTGTTCCGATGTTTCAAGTGCATCCACAACTTCAGCACTTCCAACAGGATAATGCACGTACGCATACCGCCCATTTTAGTATGGACTACCTGGCTGCTAACAACATCAATGTCTTCGACTGGCCAGCCATGTCTCCGGACATGGCACGGATAGAACATGTCTGGGATGAGATTGGACGCCGTCTGTATCGGAGACCACACATGCACACCATTGCTGCTTTAGAAGCTGCTCTTGTCCAAGAATGGAACAATTTGCCCCAGGCCTTCTTTCAAACATTGGTAAATTCCATGCGACGTCACTGCACAGCGTGCGTAAGAGCCCGTGGAGGACACACGTGCTACTGACATCTGTGTCGTACTTTTGGTTTTGACCCCCCTGACTTTGTACCGTTGATTACAGATTAAACATCCATAAGTGTACAAATGTGTTGTTATTGATGTGTTCCCATTTGAATATTGTTCACAATAAGAAGCAAAATAAATAAGATATGTTTACAGGATCATTTTGTTATACGAAAAACAAAGTGATGCGTTTTCCATTGCACTCAGTATACTTATTACTATCTATCTATCCAATAAGTATCTAATCACGAAAACTGAGCTCACAATTACACCGTTAAAATTTTGAAACGATGAAGTTTGAAAAGCTTAATTTACTGTAAATGCCAAAAGAGCTGTTCTTGGTAAATACAATTAATCTCTCTAGGCTATTTTTCAACACTTTATTAATTCGGCAAATCGTAAAAACTAAATAGTGTAATAGTCATATACATCTGTCTATACTTGACAAACGAATCAAGTGATATTTCAAAAAGACAAAAAACAAATTGTATATGAGTGTAAGGTCACTATTTTAGCATACTCCCCGCAGTGTTTCGTTTGATTAGACCTAATCCCACTCAACACTGCCGTAATGAAAGCAAATTTCTGTTCCAAATTATGATTGATCAATAGTCCGATTAACAACCAATACCTAACAGCGTAACAATATCATTCTGGTTCAAACAGAAATTTATTATGCCCAATTAACTAGTGCATAGCAGAATATCGCAGAAAAACTAATTGCGTGACAAACGAGGCTATCATCATGGCTACAATGTAAACAATAATGTTTGGAGACGAACAATACTTTCACCGTTTTTAATAATAACAAGCCAACAGTGAGGCTGATGTCCCCCGCCAAAATACCAAAATAAATAGATGACACATTAATTTATCGCACATTTATTTTTTTTAAAGTATCAAGCAATCAAACTGATTATCAACTATACACTTAAGTTTCATCACTCTCTATCAAAGTTATCTTGTCCTAAAGCATCAACCAACAAGGCATTGACCTAATCAACACATACACCAAGTTTGAACATTCTAGCTCAATTAGGAAGAGAGTTATCGTGCCCCAAAGTATCAACCAATCAAATTGCTTATCTCTGCTTACCCTAAGCGGAAAATGCTCATCTAATCAAATTGCTTATCTCTGCTTACCCTAAGCGGAAAATGCTCATCTTCGAACTCCATCAAGGCATTGACCTAATCAACACATACACCAAGTTTGAACATTCTAGCTCAATTAGGAAGAGAGTTATCGTGCCCCAAAGTATCAACCAATCAAATTGCTTATCTCTGCTTACCCTAAGCGGAAAATGCTC